TAGAATTCAGAAATGTTGGTTTTATGGAGGGATGAAACTGGAGTTTACTGAGAAAACCCAAGGAAGCGAAGCCAAGTAACTAGTGTCCAGGAGGCAGGCATCCTCAGAGACCCAGCTACTGTCCTTGGCTCACTGACAATGGTTCAGTCTCCACTGTGCCAGACTCGCTCCCCCATTAGAGCAATTGCCATGTTACAGTGTTGCAATCGTGTCTCTTTATTGCAGATATACGAAACAGTGGAGACCATTAATCAGCTGAAAATCAATCGCGAATTTTTCCTTGGGTTTGCAAGAGATCCCCCGGTAAGAAAGTTGCACCAGTTATATCATTCAAGACTGATCTTCTTCGACATACCTGGGTCATAGGAGCCCAGCAATAATGGTTTGATTTTGTAGAACAGTACTGGACAAATGGACAAATGAAAGGAACTCGTGAGGAGATGAGAATGACTAACGATGGCTAAGATGGAAATGGATCGCAATATAATAATGTGGATAATGCCATTAAAATTTAGTCAAACTCTTGCATTATTTGTTCAAAATAGGTAACAGTACATTTAAGTTATGTTACGCTGAGAATTTGATTTACTTTCTGTTTCCTAGGAATTTATAAACCAGTGGATACAATCTCAGAGCCAGGATCTCAAGGTATATTCAATATGTCTAATGAACTGAACACAAGCTTGTGCGACTTTTGAATCTGCATACATTTAGTTGGTGTTCCTGTGTTTTGATATTGCTGTGCTCTTTCTTGTGTTAAGGTCATGACAGATGTGGTCGGCAATCCAGAGGAAGAGCGGCGAGCAGATTTCTTTCATCTTCCTTGGTCGCAAGAAGCTGTGTGCCGCTACTTTTACGGCAAGGTAACAATCACACTCTGAAGGTTCTGTCTGTAAATGATGAAATGTTAATTCAGTGGGCAGCTGTTGAGCACGAAGTGATTTTTGGCCTTGTTTGGTTCAGTTTGTCCATTTGAAAGCTTTTGCATGAACGCAACATTTTTTTCTGCTTTTGGGATCTCAGAATGAGTGCGTCTTGACTACGTTTTGGTTATTCTCATTTCAGGTTCAACAGAAACGAGCTGAGCTTGAGCAAGCTTTGGGTATCAGAGGAACATAACTCAGATGTGCACGTGACAGTCGCGTGATTACAGTCAAATGGATTGGTATGTGCACGTTGCGATCACATGTGAAGGGTTTATTATGGCATAACCACGAAAAAGCGTGCCACGACCCCTTATCACGACTTCATTTGGCAGTGCGAGGAGAACTTCAGCCTTTTTGCAGAACAATCAACTGAAAGGCTCAACACATTATTATCTGTTTTGTTGTTGTCTTGGTGTTATCCACTGCATCAGCTCTACACACTGAGTAGTTCTGCAGAGTAGCATTTGTACTTGAGCATTTGAACCGTGTTTATTAAATTGTCAGCTTTATTCAGTTTTCTGTTCTCCTGGCTCACAGTTGCTTACTTCTTTTAAAATGTATTTATCTTCTAATCCTTTAGTCTACCATTCAGCTATTCAGGGGGTAAATGAGTGAAAACGTACTTTGGATAATAATGAAGGGTACGATATGTATTGGGTGGTGAGGTCTTGTCTCCACGAATTGAGTTAGCCAGCAGTTTTCATTGCGGAAGTTGCTATGCGACGTATACTGCTTACGTCAGTCTGAAAACAGTGGCTACCTTTTCCTCGTGCCAAGGCCCCGCCAGTTAAGAGAGACAGACAGCTCTGGGGACCAGAGCTTTTAGCTCTCTGAGCCAATCAAACACTTTGTTGTCGTGTTACACGTGCCTAGCTACCTGCTTGAACGTTGCTAGTTATTGCTTGTGTTTGGTTTCTGTCAATGATCTCCCAGACTGACCATTAAGGCAAAGTTGTGCTTTTCTCAACGGCCTTGGTTTTATCAAAAACGAAAACTTTGAAGGCCCTGCCTTCTGAAAACTCGTAGTAATTGGCACACTTCTCTTCAACTTACAGAACAATCAGAACGCGAAGCTGGTGTGAAGCCGCGCAAGCCACAGGCCAGCCAAATCGCTTGTTATAGGCGGATATGTCTTTAATCTTTATAGTAAAACAAGGCAAAGATCCCTACTTGGGGACTTTTTTTCGCTTTCTGCCGCCTGTTCGCTTGTTAATGTGTTCATATTGCGAGAGAGTTTCGATGGAACTTAATATCAGCAGTTTGCTCAAAGTGTCAACAGACTTTGATCCTAGAGAATATTTACTACTGCTCGCGCGCTGTCTGAACGTCACTCAGCACTGGACCCAGCTTTAATAAGGGAAGTAGTTAAAACTGAAAACACAAGAAAACTGTAGTAACAGAGAGATAGACGGCAACTCAGTGGACAATGGTTCAAAGATATGAAGTTCATCTTGGAACCTGACGAATGTAAGGCATAGCGCTACCAACGAGAATCTTGCCGATTCTGCCACAAGAACTTGGCATATCTTCAAAGCAATGATAATAATTCATACCTTTTCGATGGCGCAGTTTTTTTATGTAACAGTCCCTATCAAAATATCAATTAATATAATCATTATTATCGATGTTGGTTTTTCTCGTAGACGTTGAGCTCTCGAACAATATTCTCTTATGCTCGATCGACTCCTGCCAGAGAGTAGAAAAACTCCAGGACCGCCCTTGGCACGGAGTAATAGCAAAACAGATATTTGAGCTTTTGTGAATAAAGTTGAATTTTCTCCAGTAATGGTGTTACTTCTGGTCACAGATATGCCTCGTGAAAGGCAAACCTCTGTGATTTTTCTACCTATGAAAGAAACACTAAATATAATGTCAACCTTGGTCGTCGTGTATAGAAGACGGAATCTGTGCGGCTTTTCCAACAAAACGCATCGACGGCTGTATTTTCCGCAGTTTCTTCTAATGCAGAGTGTTTTAATTTTGAAGTATACCTTTCTGGCAAAGGGTTAGTGTTTGAACAAACATCAAACATGATCTTTGCGTTAAGTTAGCAGCTTGTGTACGAGAACATACTGGCCACAAGCAACTGAACAGTGTTCATCAAAATTGTGGCCAGTTTCGCAAAGACGACTAAGTTAAATTAACAAAAGACTGCTATCGGTGGACGAAGTTAAGTAACATCAATACTATTAACATGGCCTTAAATAAACGGAAAGTAAATAAGCTTACTTCTTGTATGTTGTCCTTGACCCCCCACCCTCACCCCCAAGTTATAAAATGTCTTTACATCAGAACAATGTTTACTAATAAAGCGTCAAAGCGCTTTATGGGGTTGAAATGTTTACAAAAAAAATTGTGGGTTAAACCGCTTCATTTGCAACTAAAGTACATACAACTCAATAACTCGATATAGTTTTTCTTGGCATCTTTTCAAGCAAAATTTTCACTGAAACGAAAAGAAGGCGTAATCGTTGAAGTGAAAATTTCGACAACCGGTGATTTTTGCTGGCGAAATGAAGCGTTACACGCGAGAAGAAAGAAGCACTTGTTGTGTTGTTTATTCAAGATAATGGTGCCAGTTATTTAACACCTGCTCCACTCCTGGGAAAGCATCGCAACAAACCGACCGAGAACAAAGCACTGCGTTTCGTTTCAACGATTCGCTGGTTTTGCAACTTCTAAATAATTAATCTTGACAGGTTTCTTGCAGGAAAATTTTTCGTCCTTTAGGATCATCCAAATCAGACATGATACAACCCCCGTCTCTAGGACCAAAAATCGCGCCTAATCCTCAGAAAATTTGTCGATATTTTGTTCCCCTTTTCAGTTGTGATATTCTCATCAGTACAGGGTCAACATATTTCGCGCAACTTCCCGCATTCTTTAGCGCATGCGCTAAGGCTATAGCTGCGTTAAATTCCTCACTATAGAACAAAAGAGCAAAGAACAATAGAGAATGTGGACCGTGCTATTACACGTCCGATTTGGTGTTTTATTAATGACTGTCAGGATATAAATTGAAAAGCAACCTTATTCAAGCACATTTCAAAGATCGCTTACCTGGGATCCAGAGGTAGGAGAGACAAATCTATTTTGAAATTTCCACCATCATTTATTGCCTTATTTTATATAGTTCACTTAATTGAAAGTACACTTCGGTTTCCGGGAAGGTTAATCTTTATGAAAGCTGGAAATGTGTTAATATTACTCTCTTTAAATGTAGGATATATTTTTTAGCTGAAAATTTGTGCCAACGGCTATTTTTTTTCGACTAAGCAAATCGTAGGTTAACACTTTCTCAAGGCTATATCATAAGGTGCAGATAGGAGAAATAAATGATAAAAGTATAATTTATCAGCAAGCCGTAGTGAAAAGCATGGAAGTATTATTCCAACGTAGTATTATTTGCGCAGCTCGATTTACGTGTTCTGGTCTATTCCAATGGCAGATTTATTTTCACATAACAAGACTTTGAAAGTCATAAAATGTTTTCTTTACCTCCTTTTTTTTTCAGATGGCGTCTAAGCTTATCTTAGGGTGTTTAGCACTCATGGTAGTGTCTACCTACGCAAGATCAAGTAAGTTTTGAATCTGTTTTGTTTAATTGTAAGCTTTATCGTAATAAAGTTAACTCGGTTAACCATATTACACTCACGGACAACACATTGCTTCCTGATAGTTAACCTTTAGACAGATGTTATTCTGCATTAGTCTACAACCTGCAATTTTCGAATTTAAGCCTTATTTAACATCGAAACAGCTATGAAGTGAAGCTATAAAATATAGAAAAAGTAAACGATCAGAAATCGGGGTTTCCAGAAGCCGCTTTCTCTCTGAACTGACAAAAGGCCGGGCGATGAATAATTAATTCACAATGAATTACGAAACAAACTGCTTTCGATCGTTCAAGCTTACAATGTTTGTTTTATAGTGCTTATCAGAGCGCAAAGCCAGGAATGTGTCGTTATAATAATACGATTAAATCATAGAAAAAAATTATCTCGAAACTTTAAAGCTATACTTCGCTGTGTTACAGTGCCTACAGAAATTACAAAAATAGATGAAAGAGTTCCGGGGTCTTTCTACAAGATGTGAGAGGAAATAAGATGTTGATGTCTTGTGCGTCTCTCAAAGTATTTTCTTTAAAAAAATCAACTGTGATTGGCGAAAATTTTTTGAACGGCGGGTTCCCGTAGAAACCTGCAGTTAAGTCAGGCGAAAAGTGAAAACATGTGTTGACTATTTATAATTCATCTTTACTAAGCTGGTGCTTTTTTAAGAATCAAACTTTTTTTCGAAGTTTAGTTAAAATCAGCGACAATTGCTTAGAATTCGTGGAGCAAATTTGACCACTTTTCACCGAAAACATCAGCTTAAAATGCCGGAATATTGCTATCTTTGCTATTTGAGAAATTTCAAGTGCTTGCAGTTTTAGACGGATCAATCACAACAGCACTCGACTTGGTTTTATTTAGAGTCACCAACAGCTAGATTCTTCTAACTATATCGGGAGATTGTCAATGGAACCGTTTACGAGAATAAAAGTAATTATCAGCCGGACCGGTATTGCCTTGATGTAGCGCTAAATTCTTAAAACTAACATAAAAACAATGTATAGCTATCTGTGAAGAGAATTCCTATTTTGATCTTGGGACTGGAGGGGCTAGACATAAGCAAATGCATGGTCGTGTCAGGTAGTTGGGCCGATCAATCGCTTCGTAAACATGGTTTTGTTTTGTTCGTCTTATTTCTGTTTTGACAACGTGTTAACTAATCTGATCTGTGCTTTTCTTACAGCATACAAAAGAAGCGCTAACCCGTGTCCTCCGGGATGTCCCGGTAGTTGTGCGCCCGCGTGTGCGGTGTCTTGTTGTCTTCCTCCACCACCCGCTCCACCACCGCCCCCACCCCCGCCACCACCACCACCAGAGCCCGCTAAGCCCGGACCACCCGGACCTTCAGGAAGAATGGGACCACCCGGACCTGTCGGACCTATCGGACCAATGGGAGAAGCCGGACCTCCCGGACCTCCCGGACCCCAAGGACCTCCAGGACCCCCAGGAGAACCCGCTCCTCCACCACCACCACCCCCACCGTGCCCACCTGTTTGCGCCCACACATGCGTCTCGTCCTGCCCGACCCAGTGCTGCTCCGGCAGAAAGTAAGCGACCACGTGATGATGCGTTAACATTAGCACGAGATTTAGAAATTCCTCCAACTTTAGCGTTCGTAAAGTACTTTTTCAGTGGATTTTTTTTGTTGTATTGCTTTGTACAAATGAGATAGAAGGCAGGGAAAAGCGAATTGCCGAAGGTTCATTCGTAGGTGTGAGCACGAGAGAGAAATATTCAAATAAAAAAATATTTACTTTGTTTGATTAAGAATGTGTCTGTTGTTATTGACAATGGATTTTTTTTAAACCCCCTCTGGCCTGGAAAGCTGGTCTTTATATTCTTATAACAACTCCTTCTTACATTCTCCAAGAAGTGAATAACTCCTAACTGTAAGAGGTACCCAATTTGTCTTTCTCATTTACACTCGTCTCTTCAAATAACAAACCGCCCTACGCCAGTTCGTGATTAATTAGAGAACAATGTGAACACACTGCCCCTTCACTTGTTCATGCGACCAAGCTGATAGCCGCCCACTCGATTGGGTCAGTTAGTAATCAAACCGACCACTGATCAACTGGCTCAGTGTAAATCTCTAACTACATGGAGTTGTTGTATTTAGAACTTGACTACTTCGTCGTCCAATTAAATACTGTAACGCTTCTACAGGAACGTTATCACAAGCCTGACCTTGAAAAGCCATTTGATGGAAACCTTAGTGCAACGGTCTAGTTTAGTTAAAAATTACTTTATAAAAGCACTGTAGCTATGAAAAGAGTTAAACATGAGGGGTTACGCATGCGCGAAGGTGTGAAATCAAATTGAGATTGGCGTCTCAAATTCATCATAAAAAGCGCGGAAAACTAATTGCAATTTGCTATTCGTCCAAAAATTCACTTAATATTTTCATCTTGGCGTTGTAAGAGCATTTTATGAACAAGTGAAGGTACTCAGTCATAATAATAGCATTGTGTTGACCAAAAATGCAATAAAATCACCGTGATGATTTACCGCATGCCTCTTGAGCGAGACGCGTAAAAGTGAAACAAACGTGAAAATGTTGTTTTGAGGCTTATGAATAAGATTTACAAACATTATTTGTAGCATTTTAATTCAAATCTGGATTATAAGGTAATGTTAGTAGCCTTCTATTGTTATAGCAGTAGCGATATTGTATCCGCTTTCTGAGTATTTTACTTTTTAGTTCTACAGAAAGCTCGTCATCTTAAAAACACGAAATAATATTCAATTCAGTATCATAACTCTCCAGGAATTCTTTGTTAGGTCA